TACAGAAGACGAGCGAGTGGAACTCCACGAGACAGAACCAGTGCCGAGGCTGAAACTGTACCTATGTGTTGACTGGTGAGTCGTTTGATTGTCAGCCCAAGAAGCGCCTTTGTGATCGGTGAGAACAACAGAACACTGTCCTCCAAGCACAAGCCCCATGCCCGATATACTGCACAAGTAACGCAGTACCCTCTTCGCAGCTTCCCAGTGCACCTTTCAGTGTCTATCGGGAGCCACGAAGTGATCCAGGAGGCTGAGAGGGTACGCAAGGTCAGGTCATGTGCACGTCATCAGGTACATGAGGCAACCCACAAGCTTTGGTATGGACCACCCGGCTCTACGGACTCGTCCAAAGGTGGAGCTGAGAGCCAGTGGCCTATAGGCAGAGGAGTGGGCTGTGGCGAGGACCACAAGAAGTCGAAGCGCTGAAGAACCTGCTGCACCATGTATGACTGAGTCAGGGTGATGGTGTGTCGTGCTCTGTCCCGGGTGATCTACAAGCCAAGATAGCTGCGCAGTTCACCCAGGTCAGTGCAGGTGTGTCTCTCTCCTGCAGCTCCGCCTTCACTAGGGGCTAGTGCCTCAGTGTTAGCAGTAGCAAAAACCAAGTCGTCGATGTACACAAGAACATAGAACGTCGGCAGAGAAGTGCCTGTACGCAGAAACAGCAAAGGGTCAGCAGTCGAGGGAGCGAAACCAAGAGCCGCAAGTATAGTCCTCAGTGTGTCGTGCCACTTACGGGGCGCGTGACGCAGACCGTAGACTGGTCGCTGGAGACTCTACTGGGTACCCTCAGGAAACGACCCAGTGAAAGTAGGTGGGCGGCGTAACCAGATAGCCTCGTGAAGGCTGCCCTGAAGGAAGGCTGTCGAGAAGTCAAGGGAGTACAGCTCGTAGTCGCGCTGTGCTGCAACGTGCAGTAGCACCCGAAGAGTGGTCATCTTCGGGGTGGGGGAGAAGGTCTGGAAGAAGTCGACCCCCTCACGCTGGCTGAACCCTCGTGCAACGTAACGCGCCTTGAAGGCAGGCGGAGAACCCGGTGGTCGCTTCACCCTGAAAATCCACATGCCATCGACTATGTTCGCCCCATGTGGGGGAACTGTGTCAACGTAGGTGCCTGTGGACTTCCAGGAAGCCATCTCTGCATCCATGGCTATCTGCCACTAAGAGGAGTACGGACCCGTGATCACGTCTGCGTAAGAATGTGGGGCCGGGATGTCCAGTGCATCAAGGTCTCCCTCAGGGCAAAGTAGCGTGGACGCGAGATGAGTTGTAGCGGCCGCTAGGCACTCCAGCTCAAACTGCCCGTCCTCAAGGACGTCACAGCCAAGGGCAAGCTCACCCCCGACGGACGGAGGACAGGAAGAGTAATAAACAAGACTCGCAGCATAGTCAAGGCGGCACAAAGCAGCAAAGTCAACAAGCTCAGCAACTAAGGCAGACGCAGCAGTAGACTCAAAGGAAGGGTCAGTCACAACTGTGGCAAGTAGACAAGTGACAGTTGGACTGGCAGTACGGACAAGGTCAGACTCAGGGTCAGGAATGTGAGGAAGAGAAGACGCGAGAGGCGACGGCAGGACAACACGCTGTGGAACCGAGGAAGGACGAAGTGCCATGATGTGCATGCCAGGGACAGGTGGAGGAATAGGACGCACAGCACGAGGAGTACGGACAGGCGTGACAGGACGCGACGCAGGATCTCTAATCTCAGTGAGGGAATCTGTCACCGCAGTGTAAGGAGCAGGAGCAGGCAGTGGGGAGTGAGGCAGTAGCTATGGCTGAGACCGGTCAAGCAGGGGAAACAGTAACGGAGGAGTAGTGCCAGCTACAGGGAACTCAGTAGCAGCAGGTGGGAGACTAAGAAGGTGACTAAGCGCAGACAGCTGCGGCTGACTAGTCGCACCCCCAGAACCTCGAGCTCTAGTAGTAACAGCACCCCCATAACCTGTACCTCCAGCTAAAACCACCGGGACTGCCCTAACGGATAGCCCACTCACGAAGTTGCTGCGGCGAGAGTGACTCCTGTCGACTAGCACCACCAACTCCAGTACCACCAGTAGTACCTCCAGTGTCAGCACCTCCAGTACCTCCAACTCCAGGAGCACCAGCACTAGCACCTCTAGAGCCAGTACCTCCAGCACCTCTAGCTCCAGTACGTCCAGCTCCGCCACCAGGGCTGCCCCACCGGACAGCCCACTCGCGAAGCCGCTCCGGCGAGAGAGGCTCCTGCCGACGTGAATCAGTACCACCAGCAATAGCACCCACAGCACCAGTACCTCCAGTACCTCCAGTAGCACCAGTGCCTCCAGCACCAGTACCTCCAGCACGGCCAACTCCAGGAACAGTACGTCTAGTACCTCCAGCTCCAGAACGTCTAGCGCCGCCACCGAGGCTGCCCCACCGGGCAGTAAACTCGCAAAGCCGCTCTGGCAAGAGATTCTCCTGCCGACGTGCACCAGTACCAGCAGCACCAGCGCCACCAGCACCTCCAACCGCAGTACCTCCAGTAGCAGCACCTCCTGTACCCGTAGGACACTCAGCACCCCCAGAGCCAGCACCCCAAGAGGCCGCACCCCTAGTGTCACCACCTCCAGCAGCACCAGAGTCCACAGCGACGGGCTGCAGCGGCGATGAAGACGGTCGAGGCGTAAACCCAGGAGGGACCGCCAAGCACGCGGAGCAGCGAGGGGCCACAGTGTCGGTAGCAGTCGGGTCACCCCCCTCAGCTGGGCCAGAGGTGTCTGAGGAGACCTCCAAAGGCTCAACCAAGGGGGGTGGGTCTACCTGAGACACACCAGATGGAGTAGGACCGTGAGGAGGGAGGGGGGCTACCGGGGGGGGGCGGGGGGGGTCGACAACCAGGGAGAGAGGCGGGAGGGGTACCGGGGAACTGCGGTGGGGGTGAAGATGGTAGAAGCAGACTGACTCGTCAAAAGTGATGTCGCGGGAGGACAGCACACGACGAGAGCCCAGGTGGTAAAACTGCCAGGGCGGTGCGTCAGTGGGAAAGCCAAGGACCACGCACCGAAGAGTGTGCGGAGAGAGCTTGCCCGCAGGCAGATCACGGACAAGAGAGAGGGAACCCCAGACCCGAAACTCCGACACATCGCCAACCTCCCCCGTCCAACACAGTGTAGGCGGGCACAGAGACACGGGGCCAGAGGTTGAGCTGATGCGCGGCCGCAAACGGCCTCAGAAAATGGGGAGCAGCCGCATGGATCATGGAGGTGCGAGCAACCTCCATGACCAAGCCAATGCAGCGCTCTGCAATCCCATTATGGTGTGAAGAGGCCGGAATTGTGAACGACTGACAGATGCCCTCATCACCTTAGTGTCAGAATAATATGTCTCTCTAGTCTGCAGTGGGGTACTTTGTAGTGAGTACAACCCTGTTAGGGTTTGCTATATGCATCTCAATTGCTTTCTAGTGCATTCATTCCTTCTCAATTCTCTCACATGGTATAGAGCAATATCGATCCTTCCTAAGGGCCCACCACGTTTAAAATTTTTTTTCCTTACCTGCCCGAGGCGCGCGTCGCGCCTGCCCTTCGAGGCCTTTCGTGGCCCGTTGCGGCCCCTTCGCGTCCCGTAACGGCCCTTTCGCGGCCCCTAACGGCC